ACTCGCACCAACTCATTCATACGCATAGAATGTTTCATCATCTACTCGCATTTGTATCCCTTAGTGGGGCTCTTGAGAACACTCACTCCGGGGACACGGCTGGCAATTAGCTTTTCCTTGCTTTGTTTCAACTGATGGTATATAGCTACAGTGACCATATTTTTGGGGGGAAAATAAAGGACATATCGATGAAAATCAAATAATACCTTATAAAATTCATAAGTTTATAACATTTATTACGAAAATAGTAGCATACAACAATGCATACATTAAAATTTTAAACAATCTGAATTATTTATTACACATACACACATTGTAAAAATTTAAATAACATTAATTTTGATACTTTTCAGTAGAATTAATTTTTTATAGCGCCGTTTCACGCTTAAAGTCATAAAATTCCATACAGTTCATTTGAAAGTTGTATTTGACAGAAATACATGCTTCTAATGTGCTTACTTTTAAATGGATTTTTTTCATTTGTCCGCATATTATTCAGCAATGAAAATATTCATTCAACGGGGGCATTAGATCCAGGAAGACAAAAAAAATTCTACGATTTTACAAACGTTTTTGAAAACAATTTCTTCTGCTGTAAAATGTTCAAAAATCTCAATCCACCTTTGATGGCGGGGCTGGTTATTCTGTCACCATTCGTCGATCTTTTCGTTTGTGACATATTTTTTTACACATGAAACTTCATCAAATAATTCACCATCGAATATATTTACGGACCAATGATTCAAAATTAAGATATAGCTTTCCTCTACTTTCGCCCACAAAGGGACTTCGCATAATGTGACCCATTCAAACATCTCTATTTCAATAAAAAACATGTCCCAATTATTTAGATAATCTATGCACGTTTGATAAAATGTGTACACAGCATCATTGGATTTTTTGGCTTGTATATTTTCTGATTTTTCTAATGCTAAAACCACTTTTCTAATAACAATAGGAAGAAACCCCTCATTTTTTCTTTCAAATAACTTCAGCTTTAATTAACAAGTGTATCATGCACCAACTAGAGAGTTAAAAAACTATCACAAAAATTCCCATAAGAGTGTCCACCCCTTAGTACTGTCAGTGGCGACACACTGCACTACTCGCTCTATGTAACAATGCAACACTGGTCGTGATGGCGTATACAAAACTAACTTGTTCAATATATTATTAAAAAAAATTTTTTTAAACTTTGTGTCAACTTTACAAACTAAATAAAGTTAAAGGACAGAGCAGTGAAATAAAGGACTGTCCTCTTAAATAAAGATCGTATGGTCACTGTATATATAGCTGCTTTTCTGTTTTGTATTTTAATTCTTACTTTCTGTCTTCTTTTTCAGTCTAAATTTGGTTAGTCCTAGTTGTAAGTTAGATTAGGGACTCTTAGCTTAGTTTACAGTTAGGTGATGATAGGTTAGGTAAAATTAGATTGAGGTTTGTTAGCTTTAGTCGTCTGGGTTAGGTTCGTCCAAGGTTATGGTAGGTTAGTTTAGTTAGTAAGTTAATGTTTAAAAAGTAAAAAATAATAAAATAAAATTTAAAAAATATTTAAAAATTTTGGGGTCTTGCTTGTTTGTCTCTGTCAGTTTGTCATTGTGTTTGTTTGCTTTTTGCACTGTCTGTCTAGCTGTTAAGTAGTATTAAGATTTGCAATTGTGTTCAGTTTTATTAGTATTAAGTAGATATAAGTCTTCCTACTAACAGTCACTTGGCACTAACTTCTACACTTAGCTATTTGTGGCGGCACTCAATTGTTGGTGTTCTTTACAGTCAGGTTATCTTTTAGACCCTTTGAGGAACTACGGCCTTGCAGCCTAAAAACTGCATTCCAACATCAAACATAGAGGGTACTGTAACCTTATGTATGCCATTCATAGGGATCCTACCTTTCTCTACTGTCTATCTCCTCTCCCTTTTTCTTCCCCTGCTCTTTCCCTTACCCTCTTTTCTGTTGGCTAAATACTTCGTGTACGGCCTATGTCTTTCTTGTATGTATGTGTCACAACTATTTAGTGTACACTAAATAGTTACACAAAAAATAGTTTTGTAAGTTATGCATATTAAATATAAGTCACAGTTAAGAATTTATTGACTGTGACTTGGATTTAGTATGGCAGTTTTCTGAAGTGTGGTGTATGTGCTATTAAAAAGCTGTAAAATTTCTAGATTTTTGTTTGGTTTGACACATGCAAAATGCACTACTGGCACAATAAGTAACTTATTCATTATTATTATTATTATTTTAATACATTTTTTGTATATTTAAAAATAATAGTTGATGATGATGTAACATATTTAAAAATAGCTGTTTCTATTATATATATATATTATATATATCATTCCTATTTTATACATTATGTATAATTTTTATTTGGTGATAATACTCTAAGATGATTATTATTTATAACAGTCTTCTCAAAATTACCTGGGTGAGAAATAAACAATCATAAACAAAACCTTTTTTAACCAGTAATTGAATTTTAACATAACTTTCAAACGTTTTCAGCTTTCACCAAGGCCTGCTTCAGGTAATGAACTAAACTGACTTCCAAATTGGAACGTTAGAACGATGATGTTTGACTTTAAACTTTATATAATTCAAATTCACATGGCTGATTGACTTCATTTGAATTTCTTGTACAGGTACCACACATGCGCCACCGTCTCACAGTCTTTAAAGTTAATACAGTTGCCTTTCAAGTTGGCTTCATAAATTTGATATATACAAAGTTTAAAGTCGAACATCATCGTTCTAATGTTTCAGTTTGGAAGTCAGTTTAGTTCATTACCTGAAGTAGGCCTGGTGAAGGCTGAAAACGTTCGGAAGTTATGTTAAAGTTCAATTACTGGTTAAAAAAGATTTTGTTTGTGATTGATTATAATTTATATATTATAGTNATAAAAAATATAAAAAATATTTAAAAATTTTGGGGTCTTGCTTGTTTGTCTCTGTCAGTTTGTCATTGTGTTTGTTTGCTTTTTGCACTGTCTGTCTAGCTGTTAAGTAGTATTAAGATTTGCAATTGTGTTCAGTTTTATTAGTATTAAGTAGATATAAGTCTTCCTACTAACAGTCACTTGGCACTAACTTCTACACTTAGCTATTTGTGGCGGCACTCAATTGTTGGTGTTCTTTACAGTCAGGTTATCTTTTAGACCCTTTGAGGAACTACGGCCTTGCAGCCTAAAAACTGCATTCCAACATCAAACATAGAGGGTACTGTAACCTTATGTATGCCATTCATAGGGATCCTACCTTTCTCTACTGTCTATCTCCTCTCCCTTTTTCTTCCCCTGCTCTTTCCCTTACCCTCTTTTCTGTTGGCTAAATACTTCGTGTACGGCCTATGTCTTTCTTGTATGTATGTGTCACAACTATTTAGTGTACACTAAATAGTTACACAAAAAATAGTTTTGTAAGTTATGCATATTAAATATAAGTCACAGTTAAGAATTTATTGACTGTGACTTGGATTTAGTATGGCAGTTTTCTGAAGTGTGGTGTATGTGCTATTAAAAAGCTGTAAAATTTCTAGATTTTTGTTTGGTTTGACACATGCAAAATGCACTACTGGCACAATAAGTAACTTATTCATTATTATTATTATTATTTTAATACATTTTTTGTATATTTAAAAATAATAGTTGATGATGATGTAACATATTTAAAAATAGCTGTTTCTATTATATATATATATTATATATATCATTCCTATTTTATACATTATGTATAATTTTTATTTGGTGATAATACTCTAAGATGATTATTATTTATAACAGTCTTCTCAAAATTACCTGGGTGAGAAATAAACAATCATAAACAAAACCTTTTTTAACCAGTAATTGAATTTTAACATAACTTTCAAACGTTTTCAGCTTTCACCAAGGCCTGCTTCAGGTAATGAACTAAACTGACTTCCAAATTGGAACGTTAGAACGATGATGTTTGACTTTAAACTTTATATAATTCAAATTCACATGGCTGATTGACTTCATTTGAATTTCTTGTACAGGTACCACACATGCGCCACCGTCTCACAGTCTTTAAAGTTAATACAGTTGCCTTTCAAGTTGGCTTCATAAATTTGATATATACAAAGTTTAAAGTCGAACATCATCGTTCTAATGTTTCAGTTTGGAAGTCAGTTTAGTTCATTACCTGAAGTAGGCCTGGTGAAGGCTGAAAACGTTCGGAAGTTATGTTAAAGTTCAATTACTGGTTAAAAAAGATTTTGTTTGTGATTGATTATAATTTATATATTATAGTACTTATGATATTTAAATATCATCAACAATGTCAGATGGCTTTTAGAAATGTTACACAAGATGACATTTATAAAATTATTACATCAAAACAATATTTTTGAATGTATTTGAATGTAATTGTTAGAATTCATTTAAATGCACCATTTTGTTTAATTTTATAGTTATTTTAAGGTATTAGCTACTAACTTATTTATGTGCATTTAAAATCATATGAATAATAATTAAAAAATGATTATATGTAACATTTATTAATGCAAGTTTACATAACTTATATCTATAGAATGTAATAACTTATAGACTGTTACTACTAATTTATATTACAACTTTTTCTTACAAGGTAAAAAAAATTGTAATTTAAAATATAATATCTTTATATTTAGGATTATTAATTGAGCCTGCATATTCTTACCTAATATATAAATTGTAGGAATGAAATAAATTACAAAGTTTTTTAATATATAGATTTGATAAAAACAAGCAAAAGGTTTAGATGATACATAAAGTATTTTTCACAAAACTATTCTTTTTATGTTACTAGAATGATATATTTTATGTTTTATTTTTAGCAGTAAATAATGATTTAGTAAATATCACACTAATTACTCATTTATTAAAAGACTGTAGAGAAATTGTAATTTTGTTTTTTAAAAATTCATTATGTTGAATAAGAAATAGTCATATGTATAATTTTATTCAAATATTTTTAAAGCAAGATTTTTTCTGTTTGTCAGTGCTAGAAAATGTGATCAATCAGGTTGAAGATCAAATGATAACTACTGAAAGTAAGTTTTCAAATATTTTCATATTTGTATAAAATAGTTTAATAATATACTTTTTTATATACTATAAATTAATATGTTGTTATCTTGGGTTGAGTTGTTTGAAAGCTGTTATCCAAATTTGTGGGAGCTCAAAAGTTGGGGAGTTGCATGGTATGGTAGTAGAAATGTAGAGTGTCTCCCAAATAAATAGCTCTTTTTGTTTGTTGCAGCATTTTAGTAATTTTGTTTCGTTCCATAGAGGCTGGTAGTTATGGTTTAGTACCTTCTTTGCTAATTCTGTAACTGGCCTGCTATTTTTGATGTCTTCTTGATGTTCATGGATACGTGAACTTAATTTTCTAGCAGTAGTTCCTACATAACTAGTCTCTTCACCAGTTAGTGTGTGCTTTAGCAGGATTTGGTAGATACCAGATTTTTTGTTCAACTAGTACTTATCCCTATCATTATATAGCAGTCTTCTTAGATTTGGTTGCAGTGTAATTGGTAGAATATAACCATTACTTCTAAAAAGATGTGCAATTTTTAAGGAGATAGGGCTAAGTAGGGTATTGGGGGGTGTGCTATTTTTAAGTTTTCTTTATTGGAAAGAAAAGATTGTGGAAATAATCTGTTTTTTACACGATTTTTTAGAAAAATGAATTTTGAGTGTGAGTAACCTGCTTTTAACATAGTAGATTGAATAATGGATAATTCATTTTCTACTATCACCCGAGCAGAAGGGAGAAGGTAAGCCCTCTGTATTAGCAAAGATATAGCAGAGTGGTAGGTAGGTGTAATGTGGTGGTTGGTAGGTGGCGGCTGGAATGATTTGTGGAGCATTATTATTTCAATGATGGACAGAAAATATAACCTCCAGAGATGTATGTATATCTCCGGAGCTATCATGTTGGCAAATACCCTATTCCTCAATTCTAGTTATCCAGAATCATACGTTTTACACCTATGTGAAGCTCTTCACCTTATTACTCAAAATAATTATTTCCAATTTAATGGAAAAATATATAAACAAACACAAGGGGTACCAATGGGCTCCCCCATTATCTCCTATTCTAGCCGAACTGGTCATGAGAAATATGAAACATTGGGTATTCAATGCTCTTTTAACAATCCAATATCCTCTCATGTATGCACATGGATAAATAAAATGCAAAGGAAACGTCCCAAACCACAAATCGACAACATTATAGTTTGCTGGGACAACATTGCACCTCCTGAATACTTCCATAAAACCTTCCAATTTGGTCCGATGTTCGTGCCTCAGTCCTCGGCACATAATCCGGTCTCAGTTATAATGAATATGGAAAAATTGCTATCTTCTGGAAATAATAAATGTCCAGATTACAGCAAAGACTATCTTAGATGGAAAGTGCTATTCACGATCAAAGAACATAAACACCAACCAGAGAGTGGTACATTTTGGCAATACATTGAAAGAAGTAGAAATTGGCTCAGAGCACAGAACATCACAATGATCAAGGCTGATAAGAGCAAGGCAGTTGTGCTTATAAAAAGATCTACCTACATCGATACATTGCAGCAATACGTAGTGGACACACAATGTCGGCGCTCGGATGCCACATATATAACAAAACTACAAAGTCATGTCACTAAGTTTACATGCACTGGTCTTGCAAACACACTTGGTCTGAGACATGCGGTAGTCATCTCTCCTGACACTCCATGTCTGTTTGCCTTTGCTAAAACGCATAAACCTGGTCGACAGCGGCTACAAGAGCACACACACACACTTCTTCCGAGTGGGCCCTACAATCAGAGCTAAGGCTTACACAACGAATAGCCACTGAACACGGATACAGCAAGCTCATACTACATGGATATCATAACGCAACTCAAGACCTAATGCAAAGGGAGGAACGATAGGATAACGATAAGATCATTCCAGTCAATTATAATCCATATATTAGACGGCTATATAGCGAAATAGCTAAAAAGAACCACATACGTATCGCCTACAGAAGGTGCCCTTCGATATTTAACATCCTAACCAATGGAAAAGATCAACCAGATAAGGATAAGCTGTCAGGGGTCTACAGCATACCGATTATAGATCACAGATGTGATAGAAACCTTCTGTATGTGGGCTCCACCAAATGATCCTTAGAGGTTAGACTCAAAAAACACACTGCAGATATTCAGAAACAAAGGAACACGACGGCTCTGGCAATTTATGCCTCTGATCCGGATATAGACCCCAAATTTAAGAAAGCCAGAATTATCCGCACCACACGGCACATACACCATATCAAATGGCTAGAGGCGGCCAGCATATACTTAGCTAACCTTAAGGATAATCAATGCATCAATTATAAAGAAGAGATTACGTTATCAACAGCGTGGCTAGCGTTTACGAATGGTAATTTATGATAGCCGTTTCTGAATCAACTGCACATGACAAACAATGACAGAAACGGGAAACGTGCATTCGAACACACGTATTTAGAATTTGAAGTTTTTTACGAGCTGCATTTTCCATCAGAAATTCAAAAAATACCTGAAGAAGAACCGTTCCTGGGATTTGAAAACGTTTGTTTCGGTTAGTTACGAGTTAGTAAGGAAGGAGAACGCACCGGTAACAGGTTAGAAAGAGTTGTAGTATTATTTTGTTTATTAAAATCTTTTAAAATTAGAAGAATACTTTTAAAATCTTTAAATGAGATACACAGATCAATCAGTCTAAAAACCAAAAAATATTGCCTCACTCTTCTACTTGATAAAATGCATTTTGAATGTCTTATTTTTTTATTGACATCCTTACTCAGTCACATTCTTCAGTCACATAGGCTTAGAAGAAATTGGACATACACAAAGAAATACAAGAGCACTACAAATGTGACTGAAAAAGGATGTCAATAATAGAATACAACATTGAAATTGCATTTCATCAAGTAAAAATTAATGAGGCAATTATTTTTTTTAGACTTACTAATTGATCTGTGTAGCTCATCCTGTTTAAAGATTTTAAACATATTCCTCTAATTTTAAGAGATTTTAATAACAAAATAATAATACAATTAAATAAAATTGCTGCAAGTTATGGAAAATTATTGCATTAGTTTATACTTAGTGATACCTTGGAACTGCAATTCATTCCTAGAGGATGTTCAAGTTCCAAAGCAATTTCTCCCCTAAGGAGTATTGTAAAGTGAATTAATCTGTTCCAAAACCACAAAATGCCCATTTAATTTAAAAAAATAATAATTAATGTTGAAATGACATGAGTAAATACCATAATTAATGCATACAACAACAACAACAGATTAAAAACAATGAAAAATAAATACTGCAATAAAATGCAATAGATGAACTATACATTATGCACCCCAACCTCGTATCAACAAATTTAGAAAAGTAACAGATTTTCATTGTTTGTAGTTCTAAATAAAAACTAACCCAATCTGGCAACTCTGCTACATTATGCATAACCATGCAGATACCATACAACATACAGTACAACCATCTTTGTGTTTGAGTTCTGAGAAAAGATGATAATAAAAACACCTTTCACACTTTTTCTAGCAAGTTTCAATAAAATGAACTAACGTTTTCAGCTATGTTAAACTTGAGGAAGGCTATTTAAAATAGCTGAAAACATTAGTTCATTTTATTGAAACTTGATAGAAACAGTGAGAAAGTTGTTTTTATTATTATTATCTAGAAGTTCTAGCTTATAGCACATAGAATTCCAAGAAAAGTTTGACTTTCAGAAAAATTTTACTCGAAGAAATTGTTTGGATTCCAAGTTGTTCGACTTCTAGGGCATTTGAGTTCCAAGGGGTCACTGTATTCCAAAACAGTTTTTAAATGGCAGGTGGGACAATTACTCTTAACATATACGTACAAACATAAAATTTACAGGATATTTAATCCATTAATTGTACATACCTTTTCCAAATTGGCCTTTATTGGGAAAAACATCACACAATAATTTAAAATTTGTTTAAAAAATATTTATATTTTAAAACATAAAATGAAATTTTAGAAGTAAACAATAAATATATATTTTGTCATTATTTTATTAAAATGAATGAAGTATTTTATTGCATGTGTTTAATTTTTTTCTTTTCTCTCAGCATTAGAGGACGTGGTCTCTACAGTTGAAAATCATCTAGTGACTTCAGAAAGTGAGTTTAAACATTTTCTTTTGTATTAACATATGATTTTTTTTAGTCATAGTAAAAATCAAATATTAAAATGTGTGTTGATTATATATTTTTTTGATTGAATTTTACTTTATTCAGCATTAGAAACTGTGATTAGTTTGGTTGAAGATCAAATAACATCTTCCGAAGGTAATTTTAAACTAATTTTTATTTGACTTAATGTTGTTGCATAATTATATACTAGATAAAATAAATTAAGTTTTTGGTAATACTGTTGTTTGTGTTTAAAATTTAATAGAAAGTTTAAAAAAAATAATTTTAAATTTATTTAAAGTTAAATTCTTAAATAAATTAATGTAGAAAAAAAATACATTAGAAGTTTTCATACACAAAATAATACATATTAGACCAGTTTTTATAACTAATTACTTTACAACTCTTGCTTTTAAGACAGTCATTATAATTGTATGAAATGTCACTTTTTTATTAGTCATTTTTATGTAATATTATAACTGTATTTGAACTATATTAAGAAATCTATAGTTTTAGAAATGTGATGTTAATTTATGACACAGATTATTGGAAATGTGATGGCTTTAGGTAATGATTGCTTTCCAGTAATTAATTTTGTCATTTAATTTTGTCATTGTAATTTTGCAGGGATTTATTGTAATTTTTTCAAATTATGTGCATCTCAATAAAAAAAAAATTTGTGAGTTTAAAAATTTCATAGATTAAAATCTGGTACTGGCTATTACATAAATTTCAATGTATTATCTTTAAATTCATCAAAAAAGTTACATTGAAATTAATAACAAATATAACATAAAATTATTCTTAAAACTGGAACTACTGTATAAGTGACAACAAAATGACCTTTTGTATGTTTCTGGCAGTGACAGCATTGTAAACAAAAATGCAAACATTTCCAGCTGTGTTTGGGGGCCATGTCAGGCTTTTATAGAAGACTTTCTTCTTTTCTGAACAGTTTGTTTTAAAAATTTTGTTCTGGAATATTATTTTTAAAGAAATGTTTCAAATTTTCAAAGTTCAGCTAGAAAAGAAGAAAACCTTCTGTAAAAGTCTGATGCAAGCCTCTGAACATGGCAAAAAAACATTTGCCTTTTTCTTTACAATGCTGTTGTTGCTGGAAATGTATGAAAGGTCAGTTTGTTGTCACATATAAAAACAAATATTTAATAATTGACTAATTTTTGTTGTCAGTTTAAATATGACCATCTACTGGTAACTTTAATAATTAAATAATTTAATTTAGAAATGTTTGACAGAATAAGGACCTGAAATGAATTTAAATTCATAATCTGTGCATAATGTAGAAGGCATTATCAGTTACATTATGCAAAAATTTTGAATTGGAAACTCTTCTACACATATAAAGTTTATAGTAATATATTATTTGTAATGGCTGTTTAGTGACCAACTAATTCTCAAATGACATTCATTCAATCACAATTTGGATATTCTAGCTTAATATGCATATATATGTAAAAATCATTTGATTAAATATTATGTCATATGTAAAATATACTGTACAGCCTATCATTCTGGAGTATTTTAACAAATAAAGTTATAAGTAGCAAATATATTACAGAAACTAAGTGTGTAGAGAAATTTTAGAAAAGTGAAACTTGTCTATAAAGAAATATTCACTAGAAATTCAGTTAAAAATTGATTCCATCTTTTGTATGTTTACTGATTTTTGCAATATTTCTCCTCTGCATTCTCTATTCATTTGAAAAACAATATTTTCATTTCTTTGTTTATAGTTCTATTTCTACTTATTTTATCAAGAATTTTTTAATATATTTTATTACCTTCAAATTTGTTGATGAAAACAAATTTGAATGAAGATATTTTATGAAAAAGTATTTTTATATAGCAATATGCAATATAACAATCAAAAATCAATAAGTTAGATTTTTTTTATTAAATAATATTTTTCAACAAAATATATATTTTTCGTTAGTATTAGAAGAAGTAATTACCTCTGTTGAGGAGAAAATAACAACAACAGAAGGTAAGTTTTACATTTTATTGTTTTAAATGGAAACATAATTGCTATTTTTCATAAACAGGGAATCTCAGATTATAGACTTGAAAGGAAAAAATCTAAAAAAGAATAAATTTACTTTTATTACATAAATATTCAATTTGCTTGCCATTAACTTCTATGGTTGTATAAGTCTTTTACATACATTTCTCTAATATTTTTAAAGAGAAATATTGATTTAAGCACATTTATTTTGAATGTTTTATTTCAGCTTTTTTATATTTTCTAATCTTGGCTTGTAAACCAAGGATTTTTTAAAATTAATATCAAAAAATGTTTAACTTTGCCTGAAAGCAAAATTAAACTGTCTATTTTTTTTATAGATTCAAACTTCTGAGGCATTGTGTGTGAATTATTTGTTTAAATAAATTTATATTAGGAAACACATATGGTGGTGGTAGTGGTGGTAGTAGTAGTAGTAGTAGTTGTTGTTGTTGTTTTTCTAATGCTAGGAAGCATATGAGGCAGCAATTATCTTCCATTGGTTTTGATCATGGGCAAGGGTTTCAGCTTCCTCCCAAGTCATATTGAGCATCTTCAAATCTTGAAGAATAGTTCTATGCCAATTATTCCTGTGGCATTCTCATGGTTTTTTGGCACCAGGGGAACCCATTTCATGGCTGTCTTAGGAATCCTATTGTTCTCCATACAAAAAATGTGGCTGGCCAGTCGGACTCTTCTACGGGCGGCAATATTATGAAGTTTGCACATCCCACTCCTTTGGAGAACCTCTTTACTAGTGATATAATCTAAATATCGGATCTTTAGGATTTGTCACTAGGCATCTCTGTTGGAAGACATTGAGCCTTCTATTGATGTTTCCTGATGTCTTCCAGGACTCACTAGCATAAACAGCTATCAGAATCACGATGGAAGTGAACAGGCAGAATTTGATTCTCAATGAGATGGATGGTGAGGACCAGATCTTGTTCATCCACCAGAAGACTGTCGCCACTTTTCTGATGCAGGACTTCACATCCATTTTTGCGTCACCATTTTGGGAAATAACACTATCCAAGTAGGTAAATCTCTCCATCTCCAATCATTGTGCTTCGACAATTACTCCCTGCTTTTGGGCAGTGTTACATACATGCAATGCACCTGAAGCAGACCTCGGTGGAGGTCGAAAGCGTTTGTGGAGTGTACTATGGACATAACACTTGTAAGTAAAGGTTTTTGTGGATTGTTATACATGCATAATTTTTGTCTTCACGGCATTTGTCTTGAGGCCAATTTTGTGTGCCTCCTGACCCAATGCAGTCATGGCATGCTGTAGCATTGTCTCGTTTCCTTCTAATAGGGCAAAATCTTCAGCAAAAACCAAATCTCCAAGATGATCCTTGTCAAACCGGTGGATGCCAGCCCCAATGCATGCACCAGACTCTTCTGCCCACCACACAATATTATCAAGGGTGATGAGGAAGAGGAAAGAGAACAGGATACAACCCTGCCTGACTGCTGTTGTAATTTCAAAGAAGTCTGTATCACCACCTTCGATCTTGACACAACTCGAATGCAGGTATAAGGCCTTGAAAATGAGACAAAGTTTGTCAGTACATCATATAATCGCAGGATCCGCCAGAGGGACTTGCGGTGAACACTGTCAAAAGTCTTCTTGAAATCAATTGATGGCCAATGGGTGTCGATACTCAATGCATTGTTCAATGATATTTCGAAGGGAGAAGATCTGCTTGCTGCACAATCTTTTGCAGTGAAACCCAGTGTGCTCCTCCTGCAAGTTCTGATCAAGGGCAAACTGCAGGCATCAAACTCCTTTGATGCCTGCAGTTTGCCCTCGACCACACAAAATGCCTTTCCAGGCACAGAAAGGAGGGTGATACTGCATCAGTTAGTACATTTGGAGATATTGTCTCTCTTAGGAATTCTGACTGTAGTACCCCTTTTCCAATCTTCTGGGACCTCCCCACATTGCCAGCACCTATTAAAGAATAACGTTAGTTTTTCCAACATGGAATGCCCTTCTTGCTTCAAAATCTAAGTCATAATTTTGTCTAAACCAGCTGCTCTACTATTCTTTAGGCTCTTAATCTCAAGCTCCACTTCCTCAAGGGTGATTTCACCAGTGTCCACCTGACGCTCATCTTGTGTATTCTCAATATCAAAATCATATATGATAGTTGGTTTCTCTTGATTAAATTTTCCTGAAAATGTTCCACCCACCTCTTGTTCTGCTTATCTTGAGCAATCAGAAGCTTCCCATTTTTGTTTTTTATTAGAATGCTGGAGTTACTCCTCATCCTAGTCAGTTCATTGACTATGTGGTACAGGGTCTTGGAGTCATTCTGGTCAGAAACCTCCTGTGCTTCAGTGCCCTTTTGTTCTAACCATTCCTTCTTGTCTTTCCAACAGCTTTTCTTTACACATCTATCCAACTTGGTGTCCAGCATCCAACATCCAACTTAGTTACTCCATCTCAGCCATTGTTTTAGCCTGGTCCCTTTTAACTTTTGCATCTTTCCTCTCATCAATCAACTTCTATGAGTGATCTTGGATCTACTGATCCTTTTGCCTTCTTCGACGTTTCCCAAATGATGTTTTGGGTGCACTCCATGATAATGTTTTTGAGGTTCTCCCAGAGATCTATATCTGTCATCTCTCCAAGAAGGGCAAAGTGATTGTGCAACTCTAGAGTGAATGCTTCAGCAATGATTGAATCATTTAATTTTTCTCTTGCGAATGATCTTTTTAGCATGAACTGCCTTTGATTACGAAGAGTGAGTTTTATATTTGCCCTAACTAGGTAATGGTCAGATCCAAATATCTGTACTTCTGTAAACCCTCATATCGTGCAATGATGACCTGCACTTTTTACTAATACAAATAAAGTCTATATCATTAAAAGTGCTTGTCTGGTGATTGCCAGGTCTTATGGATAAGCCGATTCTGGAAGTAGGTGTTTTCAACACACAACCCATTGTGTTCACAAAATGATGTTAGCCTTTCTCCGTTGTCACTCATATAAATAGAGAATGTATGAGCACCAATCACAATCTCGAGTCCTTGACGATCACTGTCCAATTGGGCATTGAAGTCCCCAATCAAGACTCTCAGGTCATGATTTGGGATACCATCAAAGATGTCTTGGAGCTGCTCATAAAATTCATCTTTTATTGTGTCTTCCACATTGTTGGTTGGCACATAAACATGCATCACAGTTGCTTTGGCATGTCCATGGGTAAAGCGAGCTGTAATAATCCAATCACTGAAGGGCCTCCATCCAAGTAGTGCTTTTGTCGCTCATTTACTCAGAATAAGACCTACTCCACATTCATGTCACTCTTCATGGCATGCATACAGGGCCCTTATTCTCAAGTTTTTCGTGTTACAACTCCCAACGTGTTGAAGGTGTCACGTGGTACCATCTCACACTCTGGCGTCAAATTGGTAGTCTCGAGTTCTAACTCACGTGCTTTCCCATCTCACCATCTGAGTTGCTACTCACATTGAGTCGTGCATGTGAGATCGCTACACAAAAGTGAAAATGGCTGACAGATATGCAATTCTTATCACTATCGAAGAGTTAGAAAGAGCCGAAAGACGTTGTTTGAGAAGGCAACAAATTTTTCAACCACGAGTAGATGACATTTCTTTTCGTGTCAAATCAATACTAATAAAAAAATTTTAATTCATAATTGATAAAATTATACAGCAAATTTTTCCAAAAATAAAAAGAAGTATCTAATTCATTGAAAAAGAGTATTAAAATGATAGTAAATTATATGTATAAGTTATTAAAAGCATAGATACTATATTAAGATTATTTATTAATCAGAAGTGTTAAGTTCTGATTAATAAATAATCTTAATAGACAAAACAATTTAAGAAATAGATCAAGGAAGAAAACTATATGAAGAAAGGATTAAGTTTAAATACATTTTCCATTACATAACGGATTTTTTAGGTTCAACACACGCAATTAATTTTTCAAGTAATTCTCTCCACAAAGCGAATTGTCTTTTTCTTGTAAATTCGTTGTCGAATTTTCCGCTGTTCATTTTCTTATTATTTTCTATATATGTTACTAATATTTCTTTTTGTTCTTCGCTTATTTTTTAAAATAAAACATTCGAGGTTTTCATTTTGTTTCTGCGTACTATATTGCCACAAGACAACTTTTAACTGTAGCACGTGTAAACTAATTCG